TTTTAAGGGACCAAAAAATTGCAAAATAAAAAAAATCTAAAGTAATCTAAGATTTATGCAGATTTTTCTGCAAATCATCATTTGTGTAACAAATTACGTCAGTGCATGTCCAGTTATCAGTCCGAAAAGGAATATAGCCATAGCAACGAATTTCAGTCCATCGCGAGGCTTTCGGCTTTTCTGACATTGGCCTTTAACTCGATATAAAAAAAAACACGATTTTCAAACTGGCGTTTGTTGATAGAAAAAAAAAAACTATTCGTATTCGAGGAAATTTCGAGGAAGATAATTTTAAGAAATAATTTAAGTTTTGCACTGAACTATAGATTGTATAATGCTTCTTAACCGTTTTAACCTTTTAAAGCTATGCCTTAATTTCTCATTTCCTTCATCTTAGCTCATTTGAATGGCATTCAGTGAAATAAGCGTAATGTCTGAGGTGAACGACGATGGTGTATATGCTGATTTTTCTGTTAAAAAATATAAGAACCAATTCTGTGACACATCACTTTTTTACAAATTAATTACCAATAAAATAAATAAAATTAAAATCGCAATTTTCTAAATTGTTTAATCATTTAAAAACATCGTTTACATAAGCAAATAAAAAATAATATTTGTTTCGGCGTGAAATGAAATGAAATTTTAATTAAATTTTTTTATCAGACAATGTTAATATTATTACTTATAATATTTGCTGCTTTGCTTGTTATTATTTGCTATTCAAAATCATTTTCTAGAATAGTTTAGTTATCTTCTCGTTATAATGAAATAATCATTAGTTATTACTTATAAACTTAATAAAATCGTTGCTCTCATTTTGCTTCGAAAGAATTCTGCTAATGATTTCGATTTGACCTGTGGTTCACTTATTTATTTATTTATTCGTTGTCGTATTTACTGGCAAAAATGTGCAATTTGTTGAAAAATAAAAGTGCTTGACCCAAAAAAATTCGACCTTTTTTCCACTTCAAAAAGGAAATTTTTATTTCATTTAGAATTGAAAATATAATCTAAAAAATAGAAAGGACATTATATTATATTATTGTCCTTTTGAATTCGTTAATCATTGCATAGTAATTTATAACTCTAATTTAGCAAAACTAAAAGCATTCTCGTATTCAACTCGTATAAAATTTTTACAAGTTTTAGCGTTATTTTTTCCAATTCATTGTTTTGTTTCCATAACAATATTGATCTAAAATATTTTTTATCAGTTATTAATATTTTATAAAATAAAAATTGTAATTTTTTCAAGAAGAAATATGAATTATAAATAATAGAATTATAAGTGTTAAATGCACATCCTTTAAAAACCATGTATAGCCGATTAGTTTCCTCGGTTGATTTCTTCTATAATGCTGATTTCTATGGTTGTCTTCTAACTTTATTAGCGCACCACCCACAAATATTTTTATTTTTTAATATTATTTCACATTTAATGAATCTATCAATGTATTGCATTGCAGTCATGGCCTGAAACTGTGAGATTTTTTCGCTCAATATTATATATCAATTAGAAAAATGCTGTGAATAGCGAGCGATTGGAAAAGCTCCAAGTTCCTTTTATATGCAAAAATTTGCACTAAGAAACTTGTCCATTACATTGTTCATTAATGATTTTAAAAGATTTCCGTTTATTTATTTGATTCATTTTTATTTTTTTGTTCACTAACTGATCTAATAAATTGTTAGCAGAAAAACTGAAAAAAATAAAAATCAAGAAAGGCAAATAAGATAAAAATATTTTGTTTGAATTAGAAATCAGAAACATTGATTAATTAATAACGGTCGTTTTTAAAAAAGATTTTTTTACACGTTCTTAAGTTGTCAGTGCTAAATTTTTTTATTGACCATATTGATTATTGATTATTGATATTACTGATCGCTATTATCTCACAAAAAAAGATTGGAACAATTCCACTATTCTACTAAATATATTATTCGTAATTTCAGCTTTTACCGCATATTTTTTGCTTATTTACGAGAAAGAACGCTCACATGAGAATGTGAAATTCAAATGAGTGAGTCAAAAATTTTTATAAAAAATGGAAGAAGGAAAAAAAGAATGATTCAATGGATCAAAATGAAAATATGGGCTAAAAATGGACATTTTTTTGTCATACTTCGTCGAACTTCCGGATAAAAGCTCTTCTTCGAGTGAAAGCTGATTTCTGGAATGACGCATTCGAACAAATAACATCGCATTCGGTTTACTGATATAAACATCGAATGAATGATATATCCTAACTTCTCGTCCACTTCTTATTATATTTTCTCAGTAAACTCAACTCAGCCTCAATCTATCATTACGCGAAGGTAAATTAAGAATTTTATTATTAAGTTGAATAGAAAAAAAAAGAATGGTTGTATTCGATTGTGGGCGGAATGAATTTTGTATTCGGCAAATTAATTTTTCGCTTTCACTGCTTTGTCTTATGACAATGATAACGGTGATAGCAATAATGATGCTATGGCGATGATGATCGACGTATTATTGGTTGATAATAATGATTAATGAAGACTGCATTAATCTCCTTGTGCCTAATTATTTATTAGTTTAGTAATTTATTTTCCCTCATTTTCTAAATACACTTATCGTCTTATTAGCAAATATTATTATTATAATTCATAGGGAAATATTTCATTTGCAAAATAATTAACTTAATAATCGATATAATAGATAAATAAATTATTTGGCTTTCTAGAACATAAACATTGCTATAATTAATTTAATCTTTTAAATGTTTTAGTTCACTTTTTGTTCGACATAAATGAAAATTCAATCGCTATTATAAGATTCCATTAATCGTTGTTGATAAATTCGTTCGAAAATTTATTTATTCAATCAAAAATTTTCTACGTCATTTTTTTAACCAAAATTCATGCATTTCATGCATTTTTACTATTTTTCGGTTTTTCATGAAAATAGATTCGATTGAACTTTTCAATCAAAAGGAACTCTTTTTTGCTTTTTTTTTAATAAATGAACTTTATAAAAATTCATCTTTAATCTTTAATTTATAACTGTTTTTTAATTTTACTATTTATAATATTTATATTTATAATTACTATTTATAATTTTGAGTGTTTCTTTATAGAACGCATTGAAAATTTGTCGCTATTATTAATATAGATTTTAATTCATCTGAATTTATCAAAGTATCAAAGCGCTTAATTAATTTAAAATTGAAAACATACGAAACAACCGCTGAATTATCATATTTTTGTATGAATTTTATAGATGAATGAACTTGAAATGCTTCATTGTTTTGTATTTAATTCATTTGATTCATAAGTTTTTCACTATATAATTTCTTATCAATTTTAACGCCCAGAAGAATTGGGAATTTCTCGGAGCTTCAACAATCATGAAGTTTCAAAGAATAATATTATACAATAATATTATACAATCTCTAAAAATCGAATAAAATCTCCTGCAATAATTTTTAAAAATTTCGCCAAAAAAACCATTTTTTAATTTATTTTTCATAAAATCCTCAATTTGCTCGACTTTTCTAAGATTTTTCTAGATTAACAACATAATTTCTTAAGAAGCAAAAAAATTAAATCAAAAGCCAAACCCACTTACTCAACAAAAAATATAAATTGATAATAATAATAAAAGCTTTATTTTCAATTCTTTAAATTATTCGAAAAAAAGAATTGTTGTATTTTATCCAGAAAAAAAATGCATGCACGCTTCATGAGAAATTTTCCACATTTGAATGCTTTCGCAGAGAAAAAAATTCTATTTTTATACGTTAAACTAAATAATAATTAGATACCAATTCTCCGAAAAATTTCTTTCAATTCTCATAAAAAAACAATATTTTCAGCTAAAACGCAAACAATATAAAATGCACATTTTATTCTTTAAATAGCAAAGAATTGAAAAGAAAAAAAATCGACAAACTCATTGATGAATTTTGTCAAATTATTTGTAAATCCATGCATTTTCTCATTTTTTCAGGATAAATTGACTTTTAAATTGATAGTGTCGATGAACAAAAGTATTCGCCAAACCTAACCCTTCAATATCATTTGTGATCAAAATTGCTAATTTATATTTATCTTTTAATAATCACTCTTATAATGATCTCATTCTTCTGTTCATATATGCGCAGTTCCTCAGATTTTGTGCAGCCCTTTATTAAGTGTCACATTCAACAAATTTAAAAAAAAACTTATTTCTAGGGTTTCAAAAACTCATTTTCTAACCTATTTTATACAATAAGGTTTCAAATTACCTTAAATCAGTTTTGAACCTTATTTTTCTAACATATCTAACTATGCTACTTCTCTTTTTTCATCCTCATCTAATTACGAACAAGAATTAGAATGGCTCAGTGAGAATTGCTGCATCATTTTCGCAGCGCTAATGCTACCTTTGTCTCTGGCGATTCTACTTCTTATTTTAAATAAGAACCTCCTGGCAAAATTCGTCTGGTGCGAGGAGCTAATGGAGCTAATGAGAATTGTCAGAAAAAAATTTTTTAATATCTTTTCCAGTGCATCTTTGTTATCAGTGGATTTTTATAATTTTCTTTGATACTCATATGAAAATATATGAAATATAAGTTTGATACTTTCGATATTTCGATTTCGATATTTATCAGCAAATAAACCGAAATTTTTTGCGTGTCTAAGAAAAAAAAAGATACGATTTTCCGAACGCAATTATTATATTTGAGCGATTTGAACAATAAATAATACATGATTTTGAATTATTCACTTTCTTATTAGCGTACAATATAATTTTTGGTTATTAGCCGATGATTTACATTAATCAGAATTTCAGAAACTCTATGAACAACCTGAAATCAGCTCAGTGATATTGATCTCGTTTTTTCATATTTTCTGCGTGAATGGTGATTGTCTATTCTTTGTCAGAGTTCATTAGTGTAAATAATAAATTCTTACAATGCGCAATTTATTTCAACATTATTATTTTAAAATAAGAGAAAATTGTATGAAATTGTCATAATGTGAGAACCGAAATGTTGGAAACAACGGCACAATTTATCGGTATTATTTACATTATAACGGGAACGATCGGCTTTTTGTTCAATATAATAACATTACTGATGATTGCTGTTAATCGCGCATTTCGCTTATCTGCATATACAATGATGGCTAATTTGGCCTTGGCTGATGCCATTATGATGGTAATTGCTGGAATAGTCTGTGGATTTCGGATTGTTTCATCAAAAAATCATTGGCTATTAAATGTTGAATCAATATCGCAAATGGAAAGATCAAATTCGTCAGAGATTGATCGAAACTTCTTACCACCAAAAACTTATCAGAAACAGTTTTTGCAAGGAGATGATCAATCACAATTTAATGACTTTTCAAAGGATTGGAACGATGCTATCTCACAGAACATATCTGAAATCATTGAAGTTTTCGCTGTTAAAATACTGTCTTTCGCGTTAATTATCGCTTGGACCGCCAGTATATGTAGTTATGCATTCCTTGGACTTAATCGATGTATTGCGATTTGCTTTTATCGGACAAGAGCCAAGACTTTCAATAGAATTTCAACAGCTCTAATTTGTTCCGGAATTACATGGGCCATTGGTATTTTTACAGGTTTGTTAAACAACCTCAGTCTTTCACATTATTAATAATATTGAATAAATAAATGATTCTATCAAAATTTCTTTTCTGAAATACTGAAAGATGCAAAATCATTAATGACTATTGATTTCATGTCAACGATTTATACTATATAAAATAATTTACAAATAAAAATAAATAAATTTAAATATAGCTTTAATTATGTTTGCTTTTACTTATTTGTTAGGCTTCAATATTTGAACTAGAAAACATTTAATTTGCTCATGGTACCACTGATTTACAGCTTGTTTGGGCACTATACCGGATTCGTTGATCGGTTACCGCAGTGATATGTTAACGATTAGTTTTTTGAGAATGTTCGAAAGAAAATCAAGTATATTCTTGATAATACCTTTCATTTGGTTTCTTAATACGAAAATGAGATTTAGAAAAAATATTAAAATTGTTCTAAAAATCAGAGTAGTGGAACAATTTTGGATTTCATTCGGAATTAAATTTTACCAAAGGATTTGAGCAATTTTTCAGGCATTTTCTTAACAATTACGCTATTTCTTAATTTTACAAGTATTTCTGTACAATGGATTTGCTCAACACTTGTGATGAGAAAAATTATTATGGTTCGCAAAAAAATTAGCCATAATAAATTAAATGTCAATAGTGCCAACAGATTCAAAAAGCAAGTATGGTTCTCGAAAGGATTATTAAAATTATTAAAATAAGATTTTTGGTGGGCTAAATGCCTTTGGAAATGTGGATTAATCTGTAATGTAATTTCATGCATCCATGAAATTCCATATTTGATCACACATAATTTATTTTTAATTTCAATTATTCTCAATCAAATTCTCAATGAAATTTTATTCTCAATGAAATTTTTTAATTTTTTACATTTTTCCTTAAAAATTTGGGAATAAAAATCCAAATCTGGATTACCTTTTACGAATTCAAATTTATTACATAAATTCTAAGATTTCATTTGGAAATCGAATATATAAATAAATTGAAGCTTTTAAGGCTGATTTATTTATTGATGTTGAAAATTTATTCTTATATAAATTTTTATAAGTTGCAAATTTTTCAGGCGAGATTAACATTTCAGTTCTTTTATCCATCTATGATATGTACTATATCATCGATTATATATTTCGCAAAACCGTTCTTAACAAATATTTTATCGTGGTGGCAGTTTTTCATATTACATGCGGTTCGTATTACGCATTCATTAAATTTTATTTAATTATTAATTATATGATTGCAATCATAATTTAGAATTGAGGAGAAACCCTAATAATAATGAAACGATCTTTCTGCTTGTTATAACTGAATTACTCTGATTGATAAGATAAGATATGCCTTTGGAAAAATGGATTAGTCTTTGCTCACAATTTTTCTAAGTGGTTCTCGACCTTTTTATTCCAATTAATACTATAAAATGGTTCTGACTAAAAGGATTTGGCAAAAAAGCCGCTGAAGTTTTCTAAAAGTCCTTTGATCACACTTATAGGGTCATTGTTATAGTGATTTGATTGCACGATCCGCAATTAAAATAGCTCATCTCTTTTGAGCAGACAAATTAAATTTATTTTCCTCAAAATCATTGGAAAATCATTGGAAACGCATCCCGCAAAAAAATGCATGAATTGATGTTAGTAGCATATATAAATGACAGGGCTACGAATAATTAAATCGTTTACAAGTTCGGAAAGAGTCTACGAGTCTTTCCAGATTTGGTTATTTCATCATATGTGCAATCCATTTATATATGCATATTTTAATGAATGCATGCGAAAATCATATCAAAGCTGGCTAACCTGTAGTAAAATTCGCTTATGTATACGAAGATACAAACGAAGATTTATAAATTTGCATGGACGCCGATTCACTAATGCGAGGTAAAAATTCAAAAATTAGCTAGAGCTGAAAAAATTTGGTTTAATAACTGACTTTCAACCAAATACAAAGCATTTATTTTTTTTATTTATTTTTTGCCAATTCTGGTCAAATTGGCTAATCCGCTTTCTTGCAAATTTTGCCAGAGAGCCATTTGGCGATAGAAATTAAGCTATGTAGCCAACCCCAATAGAATCCCAGATAATAGAATTCCGGCATTGTGAAATGAGTACAGCAGCCAACTGGATCATTCTACCCTAATTGATTCGTTCTAAAAACGAAATTATGAAATTATTCTATAAACCAAAAATTTATATATGAAGGAGTTTGCAAAGAGTGAAGAAAAAAAGCAAATTTTTGAGAAAAATTACCTGAAAAAGATTATATTCGAAGATTATTTTTATTCGAGCGCTATTGCCCAAACAATATTCATAAATTTCATATTTTAGACGAAAATTACTAACAAAAAGAAGGAAAAAGTAAATTTCAGGCGACAAAATTATTCAGTTGATAACCAATTATCAAAACGATCAACAAAATACCAAAGTAATTTTGTACGAAATAGTTTGCAACTTCAAAGTCGAAACTTTGAACAATTATGTGAATTTATGATGCGGGTTAATCCAATGAATTATGGCAGCGAAGGATGGACAGAAAGTAGCGATGAAGAAGAAAAAAATTTCACTGAAAAGCACATGTCAAAATCGAATGGACAAACAACTGTTCTCAAATTTAGTAGAAAAAATTTAAAGAAATGTGCGCAAAATGCTAGCTTATAGAAAATTTTGGCAAAATTTCCCAATTATATTTATATTTGACATTAATAATTTTGACTTTTTCGCCTTCAATTTAAAGGCCCTAAAATGAAATGAAATGAAAAAACAATAGTTATTTTCAACAATTACTGCCATTGCACAAAAAAGGCAATTTATTTGAAATTAAAGGAGTTTTTATTTTCTTCGTTCTTTGAAAACTTTTTTTGTCTTAAAATGATATTGCAATTTTTTATTACCCAAAAAACGGCATTTGAGATTTAAAAAAAGATTTCAAAAAATAATAACTTGAACCAATTTAAATTTGCCTTAGGGTAAGTTTTTTGAAGTTGTTAAGCTTATAAGATTTCAAAGAAGATAATAAAAATCAGTGCTAATTTTTATTATAGTCTTCCTTGACGAATTTGCACAACTTCAATGATAAATGCTTATCGAAAAATTTTTGATTGTTTGCGCTAAAAGATATTGAAAACAATTTGCAATTATTCAAAAATTTTAATTTTTTAATAAATTTTAATTTTCTCAAATCAACTCGAAATCTTAATTTTCGTTTCGTAGAAATAAAAAATTTCAAATATTTTTTGATGAAATTTTTACACATCGATTGCATAGTGCAAGAACATAATTTAAATTTCTTCTCTTATAAAAAATTAAAATATTGCAAAAAATTTTTCAAAAATTCCTCTGACTTATTAAGACGAGTAAAAAGAGAAAACCTTCTTCCAATGTTCGTTGAGTAATCGACGAAGCAGTCGATTAAGCAATTCAACGCATTATATTCGATAAAAATAACGCATCTTTTAGTTAATTAGTAAGTGGATAGCGCTCAACATTTTCCGCTTCATTGGCTGTTAACTATGAAATTTTTGACATTTGGCAATAGCAATACAAATGGGTCGCCCATCACTATTCGCAATTTTTAATGATTCTTGTCGAAGGCGCCATCCGAACCATCGCCTCTTACCATACGATAATCTGAAACATATCCACTCAGATACCTCACTCCTCCTTTAAGTTAATTATTCTAACGAATTTTTCGACTTTGAAGAAGGAATTTCTCGTAATCTCTGAAATTTGCATAATATAAAAAAAGCAAGAAATAATATATGTTGAATCTATAATCGAGGTAACAGCCATTCCATTTTTATTTTTTCATGCCATTTTCTACTTTAACTGCGGTTGGTACTATCTATAATTATTATTTGTGCGTTTCATTAATTCCTTTGGCTAAGCATTGGCCAAGCCAAAGATAAAACTGCGTCTAAAACTTTTCGTATGAAATCATATAAAATCATGGGTTAAATTTTTATGTTGAATACGCTAAATTCACTCAATTAAAGCAATACAATATCCTTCCTACTGGAATTAAATTTTTTTTTGCTCTCTTCTTTAATAAAATGATTAATGATTTATTTCAAATATTTATTTAATAAAACGCACGGAGTATAATCAAAAAAAGAAAGAATTTGTTGTCAAGTGACGAAATATTTATAGATTGTTGTAAGGCTTCCGCCCGTAGTTTTCCATTAATTACGTTCGGCTTAAAATTCAAAAATTTTACATCTTTAATTTTAATTTTCTAAAACTTCACATTTTTCATTCTTTCGCTCTTACTTTCAGTACTTTTTTGTTCAATAACTTCTTATAGAAAAGTAATTATTTCGGTTTATAACGGGGTTTAAATTCCTTTTGCTTGAAAATAAATTTCGAATTTCGACGCTCAACATTTAGTTTACTTGCGTTCTTTTCGCCGTATTCATCTCTCTAGAAAATTTAATTTTGCTCTTTTTCATTCCAAATTTATTTAATGTTTTTGACTTATTTATATCAGCTTTTATTAAAATAATCGCCAAATCGCCAATTGAAAAATAAATTAGCTGTTCTCATATTCTCATATAAAATTGGCCAAGCAAGACATAAAGCCATATGCTGATATTAATGAGATTAAAAAGGCTAAAATAAAGTCAATAGAAATGGGAATGGAATATTTTGAACTAAAATATTTATGGATGGAATTTGCTGGCTCTTAATTTTTCTGGAAAAAAACGCCATTGATTGATCATTTTTTTACAAGTATATTATTTTTTATGGCAAATGATTTACTATTTTAATCGTTAAAAAATAATAAACAAAATAAATTTAAATTAAATAATATGAATTATTATATTTAATTTAAATTATTGTAAACTAAAATTCGTTTCTATGCAATTCTTAAAGCGCAGTTTAAATGTTTCGATCCTATTTTCAGTCTTTCATGAAAAACGAATATTTCACTTGCGAAGTATAAATAAATTATTAATTAGTAAAAGTGAGGCAAATCTACAATTTTTTTCAGTTCTATAAATGGAAATTCTACACATATATTGACGTAAACTTAAAATACATATATTGTATATTCATATAGAGTATTCAAATTCTGAATAGGCTGTTGAGATAATTGCTTAGCACTTTTTCTGCAAATCGAATAATAAAAATAGGCAAAAACTGAATCGCGTTTTATAATATAATAATAATTAAGCTACTGATAAAGTTATGTGGAGATATTTTTAAAATTCCAGCAAATAATATAATATTGTAAATCCTAGAAGCTTATTCCGATGGCTATAAGCCAATTCAGTTTTCCTAGAGGACATATTGTGACACAGTGATTAAAAATCAAAAATGAAGTGACAATTTCGAATCCTACTGGCATTCTGCTTCAAAGCCAATTTATCTCAAACAGAGAATTATTGAACGATTTTTAACGATTTTTTTCAAACATATTTTGTTTCCCTTTAAAAAAAATGTATTTCTTGTGGTCCAAATAACCTAATTGTAATGATGAAAGCTTTATTGAACTCTTTAGTTTTTCTAGTTTTTAGCAATTAGGAAAGCCCTTTCTTAAAATGAATTGGAACTGGCAGTCATGGACCAAGTTAGACTCTTAGTCGAGTCAAAATCTGCATAAAAATGATAATGCAAACTTCCAACGAAATCTTTCAAACTGAAAGATTTGAAGACGATAAACATAGTAAACAAATAAGATCATCGAAGGGTCTGGTTTAAACTCCGAAGATATCTTTGATCATCTCCAATAGCGACTAGAGGCTCCAAAAGTAAACTTAAAACCATACAAGGATTGCCACCCAGAAACAACCAAGTTGAAGAAATGATCCGATTGCCTGGAAAGGCATCCAAAATCTACACATCTACCAATTAGAAGTAGGCGGTAGAGCACGGAAACAACTGATGCTGGAGTGATATGGCTCTAATTATGAAAATGGTTGCCCGAGTAATTGGTAGACAAGTACTATCTTGTCACCTTTCATAATACTACAACTCTAATGATTTTGAAGTCATCCAATTTTCAAATATATTCAAACTACTTTTATGCGGAATCATTAAAATAATTTTTCGCCAAAATAATTTAGGTTATTACATTTTCAAAGTTCAAGCAAATTATTGCTTTAAAAATACCTACATATTTAAAAAAACTTTTTTCTCATAGTCCTGTGGGTGACAATGGCCATCTTCAACTTTGAGCCCTGTACCAGAAACCTGGGAGATTGGTACTTCTGCGCAGTATTTTAGCAGTGCGTTCTTCTCAAGAGAGATATCTGATGTTGTTTTTGGAATCTGCTGAAGCCATATTACTGGAATTACTTTTTACCTTTACTCTGAAACGGTCCAGCACATAGTGGCCACTAATAAAATCAAGATATTTTACAATAATTTCCGCAATGAGAAAATTTTGCATAGGCACCATCAAAACAAAAATTTCACATTTGTCTAACTCTATATAACCTTGTCATATGGGTGTAAAATTTGGCCGAATATTTCTGATGGCCGAATACTTGGCCGAAATGAGAGCGAACATTTCTTTCCTGTAGAGGCTTTCTAACATTTTTGCCCAAATGAGCATTAATAATACCATCACAAATAGGCTGGTTAGGTGATCTTCGCAGCTCATTACAAGGATAGGCACATATCTTTCAACTTATAATGCGATTCCAAAAGAGATAATTTCCATGTTTTGTGGATTAATAAATGTAGAAAAAGCACATTGGCCAGCATTAGATCAGAAAGTGGAATATAAGGAATGGAGTCTGCAATTTTCACAAGATGCATTGGATCGAGAGACACGAATTTCTTTCTTGTAGCCAATAAGAGTTAGCTTGACCAATAAATCGAATATTTTGGGCATATCATGGATTTCTGAGTTCGTTTGAGGAAACGAAGGCATTCCATGAGATATGCATTGTAATATGCAAAAAAGACCTCGTGACACATAAATTATGCGAATAAAACGTAAAAGATTTTTTTTAATTAATAAGTGGATTTTTTTTAGGAAAAATCATTTATTTAGTTGTTGATCAAATACAAAAAGAAGTGTAATTATTTAATTATTTCCTAGCAAATAAAATTTAATTTAATTTAATTGAATATTTTAATGATTACGAAGGAATGGAAATGGTTTTGGTTGATAAATTAGAAATATTTCGCGGTCGGTGGATAAATTAAACATTGCCTTCATTTTCAATGAAAGAATACTACATCTCTATAAGTTTACTTTTTCAATTGGAAAAATTTAAATTTAAATTAAAATTTTTAAAATTCAAAATTTTAATTAATTTTAAAAGCCATAAGTAATCCAAATAGATCGCGTTTTTTGGGGTTTTTTATATGGGGGCTTCATTTTTTCTGCCTATTTTTTTATCATTGGCTTGTTGAACTGAGCAAATTTTTTTGTCAGAGGGTCACTCGGCTATACAAATACAGATGGATCATTAGCATCATTTACTTTTTTTTGTAGTTTAAACCTTTTTTTGGATTTTATAAAAATCATTTATAATTTTGAAGCATAAAATTAAAATTTTTTTTTTTATGAATAATCTTTGAAAAATATAATGGAGTATCAGAAAATTTTTAAATTTTAATTTTTAAGATTTTTAAACTTTTAAATTTTTAAAATTTTCCAAATTTTTTTTAAATTCTAATTTTTAAAAGAAAATTTTTAATTTTTAATT